ACTAATATTAAATAACAATAATAATATAACAATAAAATAATAATAATAATAAAATAATAATAATTTGTTCTATAACACTATAATAAATCAATAATATATAGATTAAAAAATTATCTAATAATCCAAATTCTCTTTTAATTTTTAATTTATTTTATGTACACCTACTAAATTCAGTAAAACAACAATTTCTTTTTGATAATACAAATATAATAATAATTCTTAATAGATTAATATCCAAATTACAACCATTAAACGTTAGCATTAATAAGAGATTTAAAGCAAAGGTTTGTAAACATTATAATCATTGGTTAGTAGAAATAATTCATGAATTAACTCCTTCAGGCGGTCAGTGGGTAGGAACTGCATGGGATTCACTTGAACCAAATTTAATTAGACGCTCGTTGTGGAATTTAATAGATTGTATAAATCGAAAAAAAAATTTTAATAGACAATGTTACACTTAATACAGTATAATAAATATCAAAATGTCAATATCGATATTTTATCCGGTAATTTAACAGGACGGTAGAGGTAGTAAAACGTTTGGCAAAATTAGTTAATTCCGGCCCTTTCGATCCGGGCCTCCCTGTATGAGTTTATTTTGTCCTATGAAAAGGATCTGTGATTGTTTCTCGTAAAATTATTCAAATGTTCGCAATTGCATTCTTTCGAGCCCATAGCAGAAGCTTTGCTTTTTCAAGCATACGGGCAGTTCAAATTCGAACTGCGATGGTAAGTCGAGCTATTAATTAAATCGCTTTGCATTTCAACATTTAAAAGTTTGGGTGCATGGTACCTTCATTTGACAGAACAGATCCGGACTTGAAAAATCACAATGTGCTATTTTGTTTCCAGGTATCGTGTATGTCTGAATTATTTGTTTGCTATCTGTGATAAAAGTGAATCTCATTATAGTAAAGAGGAAAAAAAACCAAGATAAATTATGACGAGAGATTACTAAATTATAGTGAGCTGAAGTTTATAACATTGTAATTTAAGATTCTTTGTTGTACCTATTCTTCACTATATTGAGAGTTCACTGTAGTAAGAGCATTTTGAAGTATTCTTCATACTATATTCAACCGTTCTTACAAAATTTTGTTTTTCTAGGACAAGGTGCTCAGTATGTTGGAATGGGTAAAGATCTTTATTCGGAATATCCTTCTGCACGTCGAGTATTTGAAGAAGCTGATGACGTATTAGGATTTAAATTGACAGAATTAATGTTTGAAGGTCATCAGGTAATCTTTTATTCATACATTGATTTTTGATATAAGAATGTTTTCAAATCACTATCGTCGTAATATCAGAAAGATTTGAATCAAACACAAAATGCACAACCTGCAATATTGACTACATCTATAGCCACTCTTCGAGTCTTAGAAGTAAGCGTTTGATATCTCTTTCAAAGTTTCATCTTAAGTGATTTATTAAGATTTTTTTTTAAATAAAGAGTGAATATGGGTTTGATGTTTCATCCGCTTGCACGTATGCGCTTGGACACTCTCTAGGGGAATATACGGCTTTGGTTGCTACCCAGTCGTTATCATTACGTGACGCTGTTAAGCTTGTTGTAAGAATTTAAAAATAAATGTATTTTTAATCGCAAAAAATTCGTCAAATTTTAAATTTTTAGTTTATTTGTAGAGACTTCGTGGTGAAGCCATGGCAAATACAGTTTCTCAACTAGGAGTCCAAACGGCCATGGCCGCTTTAATTGTTCGTGAAGAAAACTTGACCAAACTTCAAGCTTCGCTTGATGAAATTTGTTCTAGCTTACCCGAGGGTGAATCTGTAGAACTTGCTAATATTAATAGCGTATGTAAATTATGTAATTGTTCTTTAGCAATTTCAATCAATTATTCATACAGGCTTTTTAATATTTAATTGATTAGTCTTTTCAGGTTTGTTTGATTATGTAGTAAAATATTGGTCTCTATGTTCTTCCGAGATTTTAATTGTATAATATAATTCCCATTATATGTGGTAGGCAGTCATTAGTGGAACAGGTAAGGCCGTAGATTATGCATCACGAGTTTTGCAGTCACAGCATCTTGCTGCACGTGCTTTGGACCTTCCTGTATCGTGAGTAATCTTATATACAGTCGACCTTTTATAGTCACACTTTTTGGAACAAACTATTAATAAACTTATGAAAAGTCCTCTTTATAATCACATTATTAAAACTTTTGACCTAAGGTGTAACTATAGAAAAGATTGACTGCATTTTTTTTTCGTTATAAATTCTCTCTCAATGATATATGCTAATTTTTTATTCCTTACAATTCAAGAGCTCCGTTTCATTGTAGATTAATGCAACCAGCTGCAAATGTAATGCAAAAGGCAATGAGTGATATCAAATTTAAGCAACCAATCGTTGATATTATATCTAATGTCACCGCAAATTCGGTATATGAAGCATTTTTTTATTTAATTGTTTCACTTATTGTTCAGTTCTCTTATTAAACTTAAATATAATGCAACAGATACAATCAGTATCTGATATACCTTCTCTTCTAGTTCGACAAGTGACTGCTACTGTTCAATGGCATAAAAGTATAAGATATTGTAAGGAAAATGGCATTGACAATTTCATATTATTTGGACCTGCAAGGGTATTAGCTAATTTGCTAAAGAAAGAATATCCTTTAGATTTTGTCAGGTTGTATAAGTCATTTCAGAATCATTAATTTTAACAGTGATATTAACACACGTATCTTATTTAACAGGCCATTTGCTACCGTTGCTGATATTCAATCCTACATAGATTATTTAAAGATTAAACAAACAAACATCATACAATCAGATATTACTGTAAATTTAAATAAATAATATTTATCAATAACAAGCTATTTTTGTCCTATTATTTGATTAATACCAATTATTAAAATGAATTTAATTGTTAAATATGTTGTGGGACTGGTTTTTACTAATTTTCCACTAAGTTTCTATTGGCAGGGGTTATTTATACAAATTTACATGTTATTTTCTTTTTATAATGTGACATCTTAGTTGTGGTTAGGTTAATGGGCAATATTATACCAGAATCTTGTAATGAATTGTTTTGTTAACGATTTTTTGGCGAAATTTTGAGTTAGTTGAAATTATTGTAGCCTTTTCAGAAAAGAGCGATTCGTTTTTCAGAGTAGGGGTCATTTTTATAGTAATTACGTTATTTGACTGCATGTGTCAAAGAATTAATCTTTACTAAACATCAAAGTAGCTAGTATAAATAAGTATTTCTTTGCTAATTTACTTAACTTTGGAAAATCTTTTTCATGTTCTTTTCATTATTCTAAAGATTTAACTTTTTTTGAGACAATCAGCACTTTACTGATATTCAAATATTTATCTAATTGTTATCATTATCTAATAGATTATTAACATCATCAAATATTAATGTAAAAAAATAATTAGTTGAGATTATATTGAAGAAAGTAGTTTGAATAGGTATTGTATTAATAATATTGTTAAGTTGTTGTTGACATATTTTTATTGCTATTTCTTATAAATGACTAAATATAAACCATATATTTTTAAGTTTTAGATCTAGCAAAGTAACTAAAAAATCTGAATGTTTCAGATTGCTTTAATATTTTTAAAGAGAATTATATATAGTCTGCTTAACTTGAGCAATTATTATTTGAATATTGTGGAGCTTTAGTATCTAAACTTTCCTATCATTACTGCTATTTTTATATATTTGTTTTTTATATTAATATTATAGTTGTTATTAGCAGTAAGAGATATAATACTGAAAAAAAATGCATGAGGCACAAATATTTTTATTTTCTTATATCCCTTATTTTATAAATAGAAACAAAGAATTTAAAAAATATTTTCAAAAAAGTTAAAATACAAAAAATTTTAAAACTTGTCAATTTAAAGAAAAAATTTGATTAAAATAATGTAAATTTAAGTAAAAAATAAAGTTTCTAAGTTTTTATGAATTGAATAATATTTTACTCAATAAAAAAAATGTATAGAATTTCTTTTTAAATAGGGAATTTTAAAAAAACTAACTGAATGTTTATACTGTAAATATAAAATATTATACTTTATTTCAATAAGAAAAATTTTTAGATAAACAAATTGTATGAAACAAACAAATTCAATTCTTAAAAATATTTTTTATTCATATAAATTAAAATGTAATGAAATTCTGCTAATTAGATATCTTTGGTTAACTAAATCAAGATATATAACAATCAAAAAATTTACTAGACATAATTTTTCAATGATAATTAGATTTATAAAATTGTTTTATAATATAATTACAAAAAGCTTAGTAAAAAAAGACATTAAAATTAAAGAAGATAAAGTTATTGTTAAAATCAATGAATCAAAATTTAAAGCTAATGAAAATAATGAGTTCTAGAATTTATTGAGCAAATAAGATTAAAAAATTATTTTTTTAAAATGATAAAAGACAGAAATGCCAACATATTAAAAAGATTAATTAAAATATATATAAAATCTGATTTAACTATATTTACAAATTCTTGAAAATCATATATAAAATTAGAAAAGATGAGATTTAAATATAAGTGAATAAATCACAAGAAGTCAAACAAAAGTCAAACTCTAAAATAAATTTATAGTCAGCATATTGAAGGAATATAGTGAAGATAAAAATAAATATTTTGAAAAGAAATACAGTTAAAAAAAAACTTGGTTTACATTTAAAAGAATTTGTATTTCAAAGAAAACATAAAGCTGATTTATAAATAAGACTTATTAGTACAATTAAAAATTATAAAATATAAATTATTAAAAAAAAACAAAAGTTTAACAAATAAAATAAATTTATATAATTGGTTTATTACTTGTTTCTTTGAATCAAGTTTGATTCTTTGTATATATAAACATTATAAATAAAGTTACTGTACCTCAATATTAATATTAAAAAAAAATAAAAAATAAAGTTACTGTAAAAAGAATCTAATCAGTTTATAAACTGATTAGAAGTAGTTATTTTTTAGATTTTAGTCTAAAAAATTGTTAGTTAATACTATCTCTTTATTGGATAATATTCTATATTTATTTTATTTTTTAAAAGAACCAATTTTATTTTTTTTCTTTATTTGATTCTGTTGATATAACAAATGTTTTAATTTAATGATAAACAATTTCAATAAGTTAGAATTGTTTTTAATCAAGATCTTATTTTTGTCATATCCTAAAAACAAATTTTAAATTCTTTTAAATAAAATAAATTAAAAAAAAATTAAAAATTTGATTGTATTAAAAAAATATAAATACATGTAGATAATTTTAATTTATAACAAAATATTATAGTAACAAATAAAATTTTAAGATAATAAAATATTGTGTTACTTGCTAATAAAGAACAACTAATAAAAGAAAACAATGATTTAAGGAATAATATTTAAGATATTGAAACAAATAATGCTCAACCAATTAAAAGAAATAATAAAGTAAAAGAATTGCATTTTAAAGTTTATTTTACATAATGCTAAAAATAAATGAGATCATTACAAAATAAAAAACTTGTAAGAATTTAATAATTTTATTTCAAATTATATTTTTAGTTTATTTGATAATATTGGTATATAGATACAATTTAATAATTGATATATAACAAATATTATTAATTTTTTTAGATTTCATAAATTTTTTTTAGATTTCAGCAGTTTTTCATTATATTAAAATTATTTATATAAAGTTTTTAAAACCATTTTTTGTAATTTCTTATATTAATATTACTAAAATAAAACATATCAAAATAGTAAAAATTTTATTTGTAAATGTTTTAACAATATATTTTAGCATATATTTGATAATTTGTGTTTGGAAAATTTGAACAAAATTTAGTTTGCTATATTTTTTAAATATTTTATTAAATAAATTAGTATTTAATTGAATTTGTCTTCATCAGACAGGTTTTTTTTTAATGTACTACTGGCCTTGAAATTGCTTATGCATTAGTTGTTTTTTAATAATTAAGAATCATCATTCTGATACAAATTTATAATTGGGACTTCAACTCTCTAATCACCAATATGAATCAACATTTTGATTCTTGTAAATATATATTTATTATAAAAATAATTAATAAAAAAAAATAAAATATATATTTATTTAATATTAATAAATAAATATTAATAAAAAATACAATGTTATTTAAAAAATTTATAATTTAATTTTTTTAATAACTTCTGTTTTTTCTAACTGATCATCTTTTTTATATTTGCTATTTAATTTATTTTGCTTATTTTTTTTCTTTGTATATTCAGAATCTTCTGAATTATAAGAACTTAGTTAAGAATTATTGATTATAATCAATAGTCTTATTATTATATTCTTCTTATTGTTTTATATTATTTTTTTATACATTTTAGAAAAAAAATCAGTGCAAAGTTTAGATTTACTTGTACTATAATTTTCTTAGATGTAGATTATATAGGGCTTCTAATAGCAATTAAGATCTTTTAAAGATTTTTTTTTTTTTTTTATTAAAGGCCATACTTGTAGCAATACTTTATTGACTTTATATCAGATTAGTTATTACAACTATTTTTACAGAGATAAGAGTACAGCTAGTTATGCATGCAACTTTTAGTTACCTATTTAAGTAGTCCACTCTAAGGTTCTATACTAAATGCCATACCTATAGCCTACTAGAAGATTATTCATTTAAACTCTCTGATCATCTGCCCTGTCATATTGGAATCACCAACTTACCTCTTGTATATACCTAACTGGTATACTGTCTAAGCAGTATGGTTACCTACCTTTTTTGTACTGGTTTTTAGACTGTTACATATTTCAGAGTATGTTATTTGCCAGTAAGGCACAGAGGGTCTTTCATTGTTAACTATCTACTTACTTTTAGAACACTAATACAGGCTACTTTTATAGAGTTTATCCAGACCTCAGTACTGACTTTACAGCATATCTCTAGTACTTTTAATATACCTTTGCTTTGAACTCAAACTTTCAATCCAGATAGCTTAGAAGAACTGTGGCCTGTCCTTAGTATATTGAGACTAGCCTAATATTCTTTTCCTTTGGTCTGAAATTCAGTAGCCTAGTTGGTAGTACCCTTCATCCGAGATTCTTGCCTGCCCAAATCCTTCATATTGGTATTCATTTTCTAGGTCTAGCCTTTACAGTAGTATCATTGAAGATCTGTGTTACCTCTTTGCTTAGAATTTCCAAGTAGGATCTGACTTTACAGTTTTATGGATTTACACAGCCTGAGGACTTATTTTAGGTTTGCACTGCCTAGTACCAGTTTGCATTTCTCTGAGTAACATATTACACAGATGCCCCAGACCTGCCAATTATACTAGTACGACTATAGTTACAGGTATCCTATTCTAACTGATTAACAGAATGCTATCACCATAATAATGTCTATATATTACATAAGTGATTATCCAAATTTCACTATTAATAGATTTTGAACTCACAACCTACCACTCAGGAGTATGACAACTTATCTATTTCACTAAGTTGCTACACCTATTCTTTTAAAGAATTAACTTTCGTTTTTTTTTTTTTAATTCTTTTTTAATCAATATTATTTTATAAGAAGATTTTAATCATTCAATACATCTTAGAGCATGTTTTGCAAGAATTTTGTAAACATTTTTTTCTTGCTGTAAATTTTTATATGCTTCAATATAATATTTATCATTATTTTTATCAACATATTTAAATTTAAACAGAAATAAACTAGTAATTGATTATTTTGTACTAATTTTTAAAATGGTCTTTTACAAGTTTTATTACAGTATTCACAATATTTTGATAGATTTTTAAAATCATATTTGCATCTTTTTTCTTTT